GTGTATAATAGTGTTGATACATCACACTGATTAATGAGTATGCATGCATACAGGCCTAAACATCCTAGAGGGTAGGATACGTCAACTTCATAATTGCTATATAGATAAATAGATAGATAGATAGATAGATAGATATATAGATACTAGGCTTTTCGGGCGCTTCGCGCACATCTTCTATTTAAATTGTGAACATGTTCTTTTTGTTTACATTTTAAAACAAAGAAGAAAATTTTTTTGCTGGTTTAAAAAAAAATTCGCGGATTTTCAAGAATTTAATTTTTTTTACAAAATTAAAAACCTTTAAAACACATTTTTAAAATTTTTTTATCATTCATAAACCTTCCCTGTGGTCACGTGATGACCCACAAAAAAATAGATAGATAGATAGATAGATAGATAGATAGATAGATAGATAGATGGATAGATATATAAATATATAAATAGATAGATAAATAGATAGATATGGAATAGAATAGATCAGGGGAGTAAAGGGATCAAAGGATAGAACGGATCAGAGGTTAGAAGGTAGCAGAGGATATAAGGGATCAGAGGATAAAAGGGATCAGGAGTTAGAAGGGATCAGGGATTAGAATGTATCAGGGGATAGGATGAATCAGGAAACAGAAGGGATCAGAGGATATAAGGGATCAAAAGTTAGATGATAGAAGGGATCAGATTATAGAAGGCATCAGATGATAGAAGAGATCAGATGATAGAAGGGATCAGATTATAGAAGGGATCAGATTTTAGAAGGGATCAGATTATAGAAGGGATCAGATTATAGAAGGGATCAGATTATAGAAGGGATCATATTATAGAAGGGATCAGATTATAGAAGGGATCAGATAATAGAAGGGATCAGATGATAGAAGGAATCAGATGACAGAAGGGATCAGATTATTGAAGGGATCAGATTATAGAAGGGATCAGATGATAGAAGGGATCAGATTGTAGAACGGATCAGATTATAGAAGGGATCAGATGATAGAAGGGATCAGATGATAGAAGGGATCAGATTATAGAAGGGATCAGATTATAGAACGGATCAGATGATAGAAGGGATCAGATTATAGAACGGATCAGATTATAGAAGGGATCAGATTATAGAAGGGATCAGATAATAGAAGGGATCAGATGATAGAAGGAATCAGATGATAGAAGGGATCAGATTATTGAAGGGATCAGATTATAGAAGGGATCAGATGATAGAAGGGATCAGATTGTAGAAGGGTTCAGATTATAGAAGGGATCAGATGATAGAAGGGATCAGATTATAGAAGGGATCAGATTATAGAAGGGATCAGATTATAGAAGGGATCAGGTGATAGAAGGGATCAGATTATTGAAGGGATCAGATTATTGAAGGGATCAGATTATAGAAGGGATCAGATGATAGAAGGGATCAGATGATAGAGGAAAAGGAGGAAGGGTAGGTTGAGAAGAAAGGGAAGAGGGTAGAGGGTTGTTAAATAACTTGATGTGGAAATGCTAATAAATCTAGAACATACTTTGATCATGAAACCACGATCTGAACAAATAGTAGTCTGGTGTTCTATGTTTAAAAAGGACTCTTCACCTATTTTAAAATGCTCCTAATCACATCAAATTGGTAAAATATCTGTTTTATGAATTAGGACAAGAAAGAACATTAACGAAACAGAAGTTTAAAAAATATTTGACTTAACTGGCCATGAGGTGACAATAACAGGTTATAATATGCCATAACAGGTCATGAGTTGGCATAACAGATCATGAGATGGCACAACAGGTCATGACATAACATAACAGGTCATGAGATGACATAACAGGTCATTAGATGGCATAACAGGTCATGAGATGACATAACAGCTCATGACATGTCACAACAGGTCATTACACAACATAACAGAGCATGATTTGACATAACAGGTCATGATTTGACATAACAGGTCATGGGATGACATAACAGGTCATGAGATGACATAACAGGTCATGGGATGACATTACAGGTCATAAAATGACAAAACAGGGCATAACATGACAAAACAGCCCATGTCATGGCACAACAGGTCATTACATAACATAACAGGTCGTGATATGATATAACAGGTTATGACATAACATAACAGGTCATGACATAACATAACAGGTAATGAGATGACATAACAGTTCATGAGTCTATACATAACACTACATGAGACAACATAAAAAGAAAAAATTTAGAGTCAGAAAAACTAAAAAACTATGGAACAAGCTACGAACATCTAAAGGTAAAATTATTTGGCTGACATCAAAAGTGAAAGCATCATTGGATTTAGGGCTTCAAAGCATGTAAGGGGGGGGGGTTCGAAAGAGGATGTTAGGGATAGGGGGGGGGGGGTTAGGGGAGGAAGGATTGATAGATTCAGTTTCAATATAAAGAGCCCCGTGATATTTACTGATTAACCCTTGATGCCGACATAATTACAATCAATCAATCAATTCAACTGGAACCAGCTCTCTTGTTATAGATACAGGGTGTCCCACGAAACATGACATTGAAGATACGACTAAAAGATCGTCTTTGATCTTTGAAATAATTTGCAGCATTATATTTGTCAATTACAGTTCTTGTAACAGTAATCACAAGATAGCTCTAGGCATGTCCTGTCTGGTTTAATTATTTTTTTTCATGTTCAGCGAGACACCCTGTATAATGTCTGTCAGAGGGGTTCAAACTAAAGTTCTTGTATCCAAAATAAGTGAACGGTCCCTTTAAACATTATATTCACATATTTTAACAACTTGTTTAGGTAATTCCATGTTTCAAAAAAATGTTAAGGTTCCATCTAATTAAGTAATATGTACTTGAAACAGAAAAGGAGTCGAACAACGAAAAGAACTAAATAAGAAAAAGTAAACAATGTCCGAATTTAATGAATCTAGGCCGCGTCTCAAATCCCCCAAAAACCGGTTTCAATTGAGCGCCGGCTTAAATCTTGAAAAATTGAATACAATTTTAGGTAAAACCAACCAAGCCGCGGCTCAAATTCATTTAATTCTGGCTCAAGCGTGAAAAATAATATTGGGAAAAGACAGGCATAATAATTTTTATCTGAAAAAAAATAAAATAAAATGGAAGAAACAAAAAAGGGAAGAATAAAAGGCACTGAGATACAGACAGCTGTAAAAATTATTCATCAATGTGTAAAAACGGGTTGTAATTGAAGTTGATTTTTACCTAAATAACTTGCTTTTCTGTAGGCCCACTCATGTTTTAAAATTACAACATGCATGAATTGCCAGGCTACATTTGTTGCGTAAAACATACTGGGTTGACTTTACACTGGATAGTCCAGGCTGGACGGTACGACAGTACGATATGTTGATTCTATGTCAATGCAAGCAGAAAAAAAACAAAAAATTATATTGCGAGAAAGTAGAGAATAAAGAAAGGAAAGTAGAGAAAAATAGTTTTGAAACCATAAAACTATGTTTTCTCTAACCCCGCGATCAGATTAGCAATAAAATTTAATAAAAATTCCTAGGGATGATCTACATAATATACATGATATACATTATATACATAATATACCTGGCTAGCCTGTTAGTCACAGATACTAAAAATATCATCTTTCGCGCTTGGGGAGAAAGGTAGAGTAGGGGGAGGGGGGGTGGGGGGTAGAATAAAAGTAATTTACTGTGGCTTTAGGGCTTAGGGGGAAGCATCCTTAGGGGTTAGAAACAGGGAGGATAATAGTTCTCTACCTGTGTGCTCAGTTAGCTGTACTGTACACTTACAACTGTTTTCTAATATTGATATACTATAGGTTAGGCCAGAATCTCCTTATAATAAAAAAATATGCAGTTCGCTCTCGGTATAGTTTGTGGCCTATGCAATTAGTAAAGGATTAGCGTACATCATCAATCCATACACTATAACCTCGTTGGTTAGAAAAGATAAGGTGTACAAAACCTATGGGAAGGGACAATTTTAAAAGACCCGCCTTTCTGTAGAGTGAAACATAAACTTCTCACGCACCTCTGACCCTCTAGTAAAAGTAATTTTAGCCTAAAGTCTGACCGCGTCAGCCTTGTTGCACCGGCTAGTCCTATTGAGTGTCTGCTTTATTTAGCCAATGTCCGGACGAAACAGTACAAACTGGGACCGGAAAGGTTTACCCGACTCGGAATTTCAAATGTACTACAGCTGCCCGTGTTCTGTCTAATAAAGCATGAATGCGATGTTTACGTTTTTTTAATTTTCTTCTTTGGGGTTTTCTTTGAAAGTGGATTACGGATTTGTGCTGCAGAACAAGGAATTACGGTCAAGAAAATAACTGACAATATTTCCATCATTATTACTCAGAAAAGGTTGCAAAAGGTACCGTTGTGAATTAGATATACCCATGTTATAGTGTTTAGAGTGATGATGTACTCTAAGTCAACGAGGTTATAGTGTATAGAGTGATGGTGTACGCTAATCCTTTACTAAGTGTATAGGCCATTAACTATACCGAGAGCGTACTGCATATTTGTTTATAATAAGTTGATTCTGGCCTAGCCTATAGTATATTATTATTAGTAAACGTACAGTTGTATAAGTGTACAGTACAGCTAATTGAGCACACAAGTAGAGAACTATCATCCCCCCTGGATATACCACTTTAGAAATGGAAGGATACTTGAAAATTCAACAATTTCTATTTTTGTGGGTTTGTTATTAAATAAGATACTTGTGAATATCTAGTTTAATTTCCTGGTGATATGAACGCCGTGTTGATAGACCGATCCCAAGGTATATATATATATAATCACTTTGCAATTAGAGTATGGCGTCGTTTTTTTCCGTTTTTCTTCTCAAACTAAATGAGGATTTACTTTTTATTGCTATCTGTTGTTTGTTTGCCATAAAACCAGTTCCAGAGCTGTTCCAATACGTCACAGTAGATTGTAAACAACCGGTTATCCTCATCTCTTTCCTATGGGCAGTAATATTTATATAAAATATTCTGATAATGCAAAAGTGTTCTTCTAGGCTGGTCCTGATGGAGTCATGTCTTGCCTCATGGAAAACCTTGCTAGGAACATAAAAAATAATATTTGTATTAATCTATAGATTTGGAATTATGTCTATTTAGTCATATTTCTCTGAAAATCGAATATATAAGTACAGTGGAATAATGACTTCAAGCAACACTGAGAACCAGAAAACTGTGGAATAGGAACACAACATTAACGCAATACTTAAAGTGTATTTGAAAAAACAGTTTTACAAGTAGATTTAAAAATTATAAAGTTAAGTGGTCTGTGCACAGTGCACACTACACAATTGCAGTTCCTCGTGAACATTTAAATCCATAACTTTAGTTTAGTTTGAGTTTAGTATAGTCGTCTTCCTATTCTAGAGTTTTCTGATAATCACCGTACTAGTCAAATCAAGTATACTAATTTAATAAAATGTTATATCTATTGTTATATAAATCATGAATTTTTTTGTTAAATAATATCATTCAAATGTTGTGGTTAGGGATAGTAAAGCAATGACAGGGGAATGTAGACAGGTGTTGCTTCAGATTCACTACTTTTTATCCAGGTATTTTAATACAAATAAATAATAACAATAATAACAATAATGATAATGATAATGATAATGATAATGATAATGATAATGATATTTTATTTATTTGTTTAACCTTTAACACCAGTGCACCTTGCTTGCAGAGCAAGTCTTTACTGTGATAATGCAATCAATAATTTAAATAAACCCTATCAAAAATGACATAGTTCTAACATTTTTAAAATTTAATGGTTCTCGAAAATCTTGAAACTAATTTATTATTTGACTGTTTTTGGTTTGAGATTGAGGTTGAGGTCGATAGTTGAGTTGATATACAATTTCAGGGAGATTCTGGTAGATCATGATCTGTATAAGAGCTGTCGAAGCGATGCTAAACGATTGTGTGGGAGCTCTGATGGCTGGCATGTTAGGGAAGGAGATCCGGTGTAAGAAAATAAAGTATCACCCCGTAGATGAAGAAATTGAATTAATGGGTTTGCAAGTGGACGACGCAACTATTTCTTAAGTTCATATTGCTCAAAATTACCTTAAAGCATAAATTTCATTCTGAATCAAGCTTACATTGCCCCCTTTCTGTCACCGCATTTGTGGTAACATTATTTTACACTGAATGCCGTAGAGCTAACAAAAAGAAACTTTATATTAAAACAATAAACTCAATAAAAGTATGCATTGCTTGAGATTGTTTCGAGCATTAAGCAAGTTATTTAGAATATAAAATTGTAAAATTTCTTTATTTATATTTATAAAGATTAACATTTCAGTTCCAAGCTTGTTTTCCCTTGCTTGGTGAGGAACCTGTACAATGAGGATGAGGAGGATGAAAATGATGATTTTGATGAAACTGAATCAGAAACTCTTTCAGATGTAAGATTTATCAAATCTGATCTAATAAGGTTACTCACGAATGTCAAGACTTTAATGTCTACTTAAAAAAAAACATTTTTAACGTTAAATTTAAGAAAAGACTAAATAAATTTCGGTCAGTTTTCTTTAAAGTCTCCTCCTTTATAAGTAACCCCGTGGTTGATTTAATAAGTTTGATTTTAGCATCATAACATGACCTTACAGAATCAATTATTTTCCAATGCATAACGATTGTCAAACTGCTAAATTTTTTATAATTCATAATTGCTAGACATGCTCCGAGCAAGTAGAACGTGTTTTGCGGCAACGTGCAATCTCGGTAAAACTATTTCCGGAAGTTGAGGAAGTTTGCCGCGATTTCTTACATATGCACTGTACAGCGCACACTGGGCCTGGTGAAGAAATGGTTTGCCTACAGGTATACTCCATTTATAAAGGACGAAATAAATAGATGATTTATTTAAATTAGTTTTAAACATTTTTTCCAACATTACTGATCCATGATTTGCACAATTCAGTGGGACGTTAAGTTACTAACAACCCTTAGGACAATTAAGTAAAAAAACGACCCGCTCTGCAAAGTTTAAAAAAAATAGATGATAAAATTGTAAAATGGTTAAGGTAAATTCTCTTAATTTTCCCGTAAAGAAGTTGTAAATAATTTCTAGGATAATTTGCATTTGCTGACCCCGACCTGCAAAGAGGAAGTTGTTAAGTTTACAGAAATGGAGGCAAAGAATCCATATCTTCATCCAATCATTTTCATGGTAAGTAAACCGTGTAAACATATTTAAACCATATTTATGCACTGTATGAACATTGAACATTCATATTTTAGTCCGTTATATACAGATTTTCCAGGGGTATATATTTTCTTGATAAATAAACCCTGTGTAACATTATCAAAAAGAATTTCAAATCCTGCCTTTTGATGTCTAATTTTTCATTTCTTCCCCCAATTTATTAAAAACACCAATTTCTTTTCCCCCTCCTTTCGTTGATGTTCTATAAGATACCTATAAAACTTCCTAACCAGACATTTCTATGTGGGGGGGGGGGGTAAATTTTTTTTTAACTTTGAGGAACAATTATTTTGGGTTTAGAATGTCCCCCTAAGTTTACTTTTATTGAACTGTTTTATGGCTTTTTTTCATTTTCCGTATTTTATTTGATCACATTACACTCTCTGGGGTAACTGTAGGTTGAGAAGAGATTAACCCTAAAATCCATTGAATGATGATTAACCGTTTTATTTATTCATTTATATCAAATACATGAATTTGGTTTGTAGGCTTGTCAGAGTGTGATTGATGAAAACTGTGGTCTAGAGGATAAAGCCAGAAATGGACAAGGCGTACTGCAATGTTTAGAAAGGTAAATAAGTTGTACTGTAGAGTGTTTAGAAAGGTGAATAAAGTAAACAGTAATGTTTAGAAAGGTGAATAATGTGTACTGTAATGTTTAGAAAGATAATTATTTTGTATTGTAATGTTTAGAAAAGTAAATATTGTGTACTGTAATGTTTAAAAAGGAAAATATGATGTACTGTAATGTTTAGAAAGATAAATATTGTGTACTGTAATCTTAAGAACGGTAAATTTGGTGTACTGTAATAATTAGATTAGAAAGGTTAATTGGTGTGTACTGCAATCTTTAGAAAAGTAAATACTGTGTACTGCAATGTTCAGTAAAGTGAACAATGTTTACTGCAATGATTAGAGAAGCTAAATGGTGTGTACTGAAATGTATAGAAAGGTAAAAAAGGTGTACTGTAATGTTAAGAACGGTAAATATTGTGAACTACAATGTTTAGAAAGGTAAATATTGTGTACTGCAATGTTTAGAAAGGTGAATAATGTGTATTGCATTGTTCAGAAACGTAAATATTGTGTAATGCAATTTTTAGAAAGGTAAGTATTGAGAAAGGTAAGTAGTGTGTACTGTAATTTTTAGAATGGTAATTAAGTTAAGCTTAAAAAGTTGAATAATGTAAACTGTAATGTTTAGAAAAGGTAAATAAATTGTACTGTAATTTTTAGAATGGTAAATAATAATACTGCAATGTTACGAAAGGTAAATATTGTTTACTGAACTGTTTAGAAAGGTAAATATTGTGTACTGCAATGTTTAGAAAGGTAAATATTGTGTACTGCAATGTTTAGAAAGGTAAATATTTTTACTGCAATATTTGGAAGGTGAATATTGTGTACTGTAATTTTTAGAAAGGTTACAAGGTCAGAAATGGGTATTGTAAAGTTCAGAAAAGTAAATATTTACGAAAAATGATGCGGATGAACAATGCATTGTGGAGAATTAACTTTTTAAGTTTTGATTTCAGAACTTTTTTACTTGTATTAAGAACTTAAAAAAATTTTGGTGGTAGAGATTAAAAACCCTGTTTAATTCGTTCTTTTTATTAGATTTTTTCTCTTTATTTACAATCTACTCCAGAAGTTACAAGAGGGAAACCAATTTTTATTGGTTCCCCCTAAATCAGTCTTAAGAATGTTTAATGATATATTATTGTGACTAGGTATATGCTGGAGCACCCTCCTGAAAGCCAGAATCCTATGAATCAGTCTAAAGAATGTTTAATGATATGTTATTGTGACTAGGTATATGCTGGAGCACCCTCCTGAAAGCCAGAATCCTATGAATCACAAGTGTGCAACTATTGTAGAGAAATGGGAGATAATGACGCTAGAGGATTTCAGGTCAGGGGTTTATATTTTTTTACCCCTTCCCCCATTTAAAAAATCGTGTTTTTTTGTAATATTTTCGAGGCATTTTTGCGCAATTTATTCGGTCAAAAATGTTGTTTATTTCCAATTCCCAGTATCTAAAACTCATCTCCCTGATTTAGGTTCAGCTTTGAGTTCAAGACAGCTTGTGGTTCCGAGATTAAGGAACATTGTAAGGTGCGTATTTTAAAATCAAAGGCAGAATCTCTTTTATTTTTACGCCATCCCAATATAGAATATTATTCATTTTAGTGTTTAATTACAAAAAGAACTTTTATTGACGGTAGTTAGATTGGTCGGAAATCCACCAAAGTTTTTGAAATTTCACGGAAATAAAACGTTAACGAATGGAATGATCTGAACAGCTAAAATATTATCTACAGGCGAACGGTTACTTAATTGGCCTGCTGGTTTCTCTAGTTTTACTTATTGTCATCGATCACGCTGATAAAGGAATTCATGTGCTCTGCTCTGTTATAGTTTTATTTACAGACTCATGAAATGAAAAGTTTAATGGGGTCGTCTTCGTTTTCTAGAAATTTATCAGAACCAAAGACATGAAACATAAATACTAAATCCTGACCGACTTCAATGAGAAAATGTAGTAACGCTGACAATCGATTCAAAACTTAATGTTTATTTATTGCTTTTTTCGTAAAATTGTGAACCCTTTTTTTGTGAAACAACAATCCAACTTAGGATAAGTTTTATCTTGTTAAGAGTAAAACTAAGAAGTATGATCTGGTCCACTGTCTGGTTGCTCTGGTAGTAAATGATACAGTTCTAGATCAACCCCATCGAGTAAACAAGGACTGCAGGGACGAACTCAAGTTTGAACTCCTCCAGGTTAGATTAATAAGAAATAAGGGGTTAAATTTAAAGCCCCCCCCCCCCCCGCGCACACATCCAAAACTCATATTGGAGAGATACTACCAGGCAGGGTCAACTACATGTATATTGTGGTATGTGCGAAATACAACGGTAAATCAAGGATTACGTCGATATTCTTATTTTTATAGATGAAAATGTATTGCCTTGAGAATGCAAGCATACTGCATGGTGGTGTTCACTGTAACCTCCAGTATTTTGACTCTCATTTATATTAATGATATGGACAAATCCAACTTGTTATCAAATTTCCATTTTGAAATTAGTTTTAAACATTTTTACCAACATTACTGATCCATGATTTGCACAATTCAGTGGGACGTTAAGTTACTAACAACCCTTAGGACAATTAAGTAAAAAACGACCCGCTCTGAAAGTTTAAAAAAAAAATAGATAAAATTGTAAAATGGTTAAGGTAAATTCTCTTAATTTTCCCGTAAAGAAGTTGTAAATAATTTCTAGGATAATAGTTGCATGGCAGTTGATGTCCAATTTATTTTATTTTCACAAAAAGAATTTCGTTTTAAAAAAATATGACCAAATCTATTTTAGAAGCACGGAAACCTGAAGCTGAATCCTCTGCTGGCATCTGCTTGTGGCTCTGACCTAGACCGTCTCTGTCCAGGAAAGCAAGGGATGGATGCTGTTGAATGCTTGAAGGACCACAAACCCCGGCGACTAAGTCCCGAGTGCCGGAAGACTCTGCACGGTGACGAAGAGGAAGAAGCTGTGAACAACGAGGTTGATGTTCCTCTCATGCGGAACTGTAAGAAAGAGATTAAATCTCATTGTTCCAACGCCAACGCCTCGAGTATTATCGACTGTTTGGCCCAGTTTGCTCAAGACTTTGAATTCGATCAAAAGTGTTTGAACATAATCAAACGACGAATTACTCAGCACAATCAAGATTACAGGCTAAACACAGACCTGGCTAAAGCTTGTAAAATGGATATAAAGAAATATTGTCAGAGTATTCTTCAGGAGAACCAGGAGTACTTTGAGGGGAAAGTCCTGTTCTGTCTTAAGGAGAAGTATAGTCAGAACATAAACCTACTGTCTAAAGGGTGTTCTAGGCAGGTTCAGAAAATGGTGAGAGAATCCCCGCTTGCCTCGGCGGATCCTCAAGTGGAGGAAAAATGTCCCAAATCAATGGAAAAATGTATAATTGGAGTTCACAAAGGATCAGGATCTCAAGAGGTAGGAGCATCACATTTTTATATTTTTAACGTCTGAAATATTGGGCTACATTTTTTCTAGAAAATTTAAAAAATATCACTGTGCAAGAAACAACTAAGATTTTGATTTTGTCATTAACCCCTCACAAGTTGAAGCTAGAAACAAGCAAATTGTAGTTTTTAAATGTACATGCCCATGGTCACTAAGAATGTGGTGTGGTAAAACCAAATCCCAGGTCGTTGCGACACTTCAAAGTCGATGCTGTCTTAAAATCTTTTATAAATGTTTGGATATCTGTGAGTACTAGCCATAAAAAGTTCGACCACTCTTTTCATTCAATTCGTTTTTACTCCGGATGCGCTCCAATCTACAGGGAATGTCGTCTTCATAGAAATGTTATGAGGGGGAAGGATTTTCTCTGTTTGTCAGCTGTTAAAGGCGGATAAAATCCCCCCCCCCCCTTATCACCAGCAACGTTGTCATATCAGCTTCCGCAATACTCAGTTACGTAATTTGAGGATTTCGACTGTCCATTGTTATAAAGATGACATTTCTACTCAGTTACGTAATTTGAGGATTTCGACTGTCTATTGTTATAAAGACGACATTTCTTGTAAATCGGAGCGCATCCAGAGTATCCAACAGTAATAAACATTAAACAACTTTGTTCAGTATGTATCATTTGACGGCTTCCTGTTACAGGGTTATGTATCATTTGATGGCACTAATGTGCTCCCTGTTACAGGGTTATGTATCATTTGATGGCACTAATGTGCTAGGCACTAATGTGCTCCCTGTTACAGGGTTATGTATCATTTGATGGCACTAATCTGCTCCCTGTTTCAGGGTTATGTATCATTTAATTTTTTTTGGTACTCCAATGGCCCAATAGAAAATCCGCGAACCTTTTATTCTCACAAAATCAAAAGTTCAGAAAAACAAACATGTGTAAATAAATTATTTCTATCGAAATCTAAAAATTTTTAAAGATTGAATTAAAGAATCGCAGAAAATTAGCAAAATTGTAATAAGAAAATTTGCAATTTTTAGTTCTGGTCTAATCTATAAGGAAAAGTTATTTAAATTCTCTAGTTCCTTTCTTCTTAGTATATTTATTAAATAAGCGCTGTTCCTAAACCTTAAGAACCATTGAAAAACTAGTTTTCCGTAAAATTATACCAGTATGTAGTGAAAATTGCGAATTTTCTAATTACAATTTTGCAAATATTTTAAAATTCTGTGATTCAATCTTTTTAAAATTTTAGATTTCGATAGAAACAATGTATTAACACATTTTTGTTTTTCTGAACTTTTGGTTTTTGAACTAATTTCCCCCGTATTTATTATACAGTTGGCCCACAATAAATGAAAGGTATCTCAAACTTGGTCTTGTTGCTGGGGTCATAATGCTTACCGTTAAAAGTAAATCATTAACATGAATAAAACAAAAGTCAAAATTAAATTCAGATCTGGGCTGAAAACCATTACAAAATCAGGAATTGAACCTCCAGGCTGCTTAATGGACCCTAAAGCTTCCCCTAAAATTCATGATTTGATCAGGATGGAGTTGTTGTTGAGCAGGAGTGCTTGTTTAAGATGTTAGCTACGGGTTCATTACTTGATGGAGATGAGTGTGCAAATGTTCTTTCAGTTTTAGCAGAGTCTCAGAACAGGTTTAGTCTTTTGCAAAATTGTAGAGTTTTGTTTAAAAGACAATTCTTTAAAACACTTCCATTATTGATTATTTTCTTACATATAGTGTAATTCATCAATTTTAAATTTTGTTTTTTAATCTTTTTTTAACTGATATTGTTTTTATGAAAATGGCCCAAAATTAGACATGGAAAGAAATATTTGTTGTAAATTTTTTCATATTAAATATTAAGGTTGTTGTTAACACTGATTTTCTTGAAATCAAAAACTTTTTTTTGGAGTCCAAGTACGTTGACAGTAAGAAAAAACCTCTCTATTGATATCCAGTTTTTCATTTTTCCTCCAATATATCGTAAATTCTTCGAATTTTATACCCCTATGAAATTATTAGTAGTAAATTTTAAATATTTTTCTTGATCAGGGATGTTAAATCAGACCGAATGCTGTTCAATGCCTGTTCCCTGGATCTAGCCAAGTTCTGCAGAGATGTTCAAAGTGGAGATGGGAAACGGTAAATATTAAAGGGACATGAGAGACGTTAAAAGTGGAGATGGGAAACGGTAAATATTAAAGGGACATGAGAGATGTTCAAAGTGGATATGGGAAACGGTAAATATAAAAAGGACATGAGAGATGATAAAAGTGGAGATGCGAAACGGTAAATATTAAATGGACATGAGAGATGTTAAAAGTGGAGATGGGAAACGGTAAATATTAAATGGACATGAGAGATGATAAAAGTGGAGATGGGAAACGGTAAATATTAAAAGGACATGAGAGATGATAAAAGTGGAGATGGGAAACGGTAAATATTAAAAGGCCAGGGCTCAGATGACGTAAATGATTGTTTAGCGTAACCAAATCAAAGTAAACAGATGTCAGGGGGGTGGTGTGGTATACATTTTACTGTGACTTGTTCAGGAACTGGTTCAAGGTAAATAAACAAGATGTACTGTCTGTGCACAGGAAATTCAGACTTGTGTTTACAATCTTTGTTTGATAAATCTAGTTTCCAGCAGTCCTAATAAGTCACCATAAATTATGCTCGCAAACCCTTACCTTTAGTACAGTCTCAAATTGCTGAAAACGTTAAACAATCATAAAGTTTTATTAAAACCCCTCCTCTTGTATCGATTTTAGAAAACAGCCAAATCCCTTCACAAAGGATGTTATCATTCTGGACAACGAAAGTAAATAATGCAGAGGAGTAATGCAGTATGAAACTTTTATTGAAGAAATAAGTATTTCAGTTTTTATTAAAGAAATGTTCCGGTCGGGAAAAAAATATTTTTGCATAAAAATGATAAAATTCTGGAGAATATGTATCAAATTTTTATAGCTTACAACGTTACATCTCATTATTAATTTTTTTCAAAAGCAGTTCCCTTCTAAAACAATTAAATCCATATTTATTTAACTGTCATTTGACTAAACACCCGTTTTGGTTTTAACGACTTATGAATTCTGTCAATGTACGATATGGGAACGAACTATTTGCCTCTGAAGCTAATTTTCTTATGTGTATACTGTATATACTATACACGGTGTCCCAATTAATATGGGAGCTAAGAGACGATTTTCAGATCGTTTTTTTAAATTGATTTTTGCATCTATCAATTTAAATTGGACCTTTCTCTTGAATTACAATTAAAGGGTCATTAAAAATTTTGTCAACAGTTACTTTAATAACTTTTTTTAGATTTGCCTGTTTGGTTGCAGTAACTAAGGACAGTAATCTGAGATTAGAACCAAGATGTCAGAAGATAGTTGAGAGTAGAGTATCCATGTATAGAGTTGCACTCAAGGTAGGGTTAAGAGTAGAGTATCCATGTATAGAGTTGCACTCAAGGTAGGGTTGAGAGTAGAGTATCATGTATAGAGTTGCACTCAAGGTAGGGTTTAGAGAAGAGTATCCATGTTTAGAGTTGCACTCAAGGTAGGGTTGAGAGTAGAGTGTCCATGTATAGAGTTGCACTCAAGGTAGGGTTGAGAGAAGAGTATCCATGTATAGAGTTGCACTCAAGGTAGGGTTGAGAGTAGAGTATCCATGTATAGAGTTGCACTCAAGGTAGGATTGAGAGTAGAGTATCCATGTATAGAGTTACACTCAAGGTATAGGATTCAGAGCAGCATATTTTAGCGAGTATTTTTAACTCCTGAGTTTTTTCTTGGGGCGGGGGGCGGAAGTCTATGTAATTTTCTCGGCACACTTTTTTTATTACTGGCCATTAATAACCTTTCATTTGGTAATGTGAGTTGCCACACAAAACAATCGGTTTAGTTGTGATATGTATTTGATGCAACAAACAAAGACGAGAAAATTTTTTACATAGACGAAATACAAAATAAAACGGAATTGTATAAATAACCATATAAAAAATAACTCTTAACAAAAAAGTAGTATTTACAACAAAAATTTACCTCGGTCATGAAACTCGCTTTCTTTCACCGAGGGTCATATTGATATTATATTAGTTTGGTTGAAGTTTACTTTGTATATTATGGGTGAACATTTTTCTGGAATCCTTTTCAAGAATCAAAATCGTATTCTTAATAGAAGGAAGGTTGTTTAGAACGAAAATTCAATCCATTGTTCAAAAATTGATTTCTTAAGAATTAAAATTCAATGTTTGCCCTGGTTTTCTTACCTCATATTATTAAAAGGATGGTTCATATGAGAGTATTTTTGGGGTATTACATCAAAATTAACAGAAATTAGATGCAAAATAATAAAAATACTGGATCATCCTTTATTTTAAGCAAGATATCCCAAATAATTGTATTATCTAGTATTTTTATCATTTATTATCTTTTGTCTTATCAAAATTTGAATTTAAATCATTAAGCCAACAATCTTAAAATTTATTGTTTTCATTTGAAATTCAAAATAGCATTGATTAGAAATGACTATTTTCTAATTATTTTTTAGGTTCATCCTATGGAGCAAGCATTAGAACTATATAATTCTGTGATGGAGTCTCCGCATAGAAACTATATAGTATCCTCCCTATTCCTTTTCCTCAGTATTATATTTGTATTTGGTCTCTGTTTCGGCAGAGTCACAAACCGGATGCGAAATGAGATTAAGAACAGATAATATTGCGGCATTTTTGTAAAGTCCAGCACCGCCATATTTGTTTGTTTTTTCATTGTAACCCCACCTTTTATGTTGGTTCCTGACATGTTTATTTTGTAAAATCCACTGAGCTGGAAATTTGTATTTCAGAATCACGTGGTCGGAATTTTTGAATTTTTAATCCCTTTAAAACTCACTAAATACATTAGTTTTGTTTTCCGACAGATAAGATTGAGTTCTTTCTTCAATCTCTCATTGAAAGGTCTCAAAGATACAATTCAGCTTCTTTAACGACTGCTTCCACTTTGGTGACATGAATATAAAGTTATTCGTCACTTCATTCAATAATACCTGCTTCAAATTTGCCTGATTTTTTTCTTTCTTTTTCCAGCGTCAACGCCCACCCACCGACAATAAAATTATAACAGCTGAAATCAATGTAAAAAAACAATAATTTGATAATTTCATGATTTGATATCATGCACTTTGGCCTTAATAAGGCTATCTTTCTGTTAGTAAACAAACTTTGAATCATCCTAACTTTTCTGATTGCCATGAGTTTTTACATTTTAATATATTTTATTTTGTTGTAACAATCATTTTGTAATGTGAGTTTAATAATTAAGTGATAAGCATTTCGTTATGTTAATATTTTACACTTGACATAATTCAGTTGTTGGTGATTCATTGTCCGAACTAGGTTAAATTATGAATAAAAATGACTATAGTTCTGATGATGAAGCATCGATTGATTTAATTATGTTGTTCACGTTATTGACATGAATTTTTGAAAATTTATTTATTGTCACAAAAGAGTTGTATTTCTCTTTCTCATAAGGAAACAAAATACATCTTAAATATTTTCAGTTTATTATTTCAAGAAAAAATAAATAAGTAATTAAATTAAATACTATTATTAATTATTTACAATCTCCTGTTCTGTTCAATGTTTTAAAGAAATCAGCATAACATGTTTGTGTCATTTAATATCTGATTGTTTTTTGCATTAATTACATTAAGTGTGAATGTACTGCACAAAAATTTGCAACGCACATTGCCCAACATTAATCCAATATCAATGTATTCTACGTACCACACATTTGTGTATCTTTTCATTTCTACGGAATGATTTTATTATTATTAATATTATATATTCTTAGTGAGGGTTTACATAATTTGAATGATAGGATTTTTTTAATAAATTCTTTTCATGAATCTTTGTATGAAATTTTTTCTGGAAATTGCGGCATGATCATGTTCTGGACAAGTTTAAAGCAATTATTATTAAATTTTTATATTAAAACCTTTAAAAGTTATTTCTTTGAAGTGACCATTTCATGAATTGAAATCAAGGATCTAGTCAGCAAGGAGTCCAAAGAGAAGAACGAAATAAAAAAAGATAAAATGTCTCCAAGGATAGTTCGTTGAAAGGAAACCGTTGTGAATCGGCTCTCTAGCTGGACTGTACCTTGAATATACGTGGACAAGCTTCTAATTTTACTGTTTGTTAACCGGACATTTGCAATCAATTTTTGTATGTCTGAATTAAATTTGCAGTTTAATTTATAGCTAAAACTGTGTCTTTTTAAAAAAATGTTTATTATATTTTATTCTGAATAGGGTATGTTTTAAACTAAAAGTTTTCCTTTTTTAGTGACAATTCTCGTTATTTTTTGTTGCCGACTGTTAAATAAACAAAATGCTGTTGTACTTAAAACTTTGTATTGTATTCGATCAGAATAAGAATTAAAAAAAATTAAAATTAATACGATTTTTTTCAGATAAAATGTTCTGGTTAATTTCTTGGATTGTTTATTTATTTGGACTTCTGCCTTTAGGAATTCAGATCTTAAAACATTTGACATTTCTAGAAATCGTCTTTCTTCTTTTTTAATTAGTAAATTTAGCCTAGATCATTCCACAGTTTTCTACCCACACCCCAGTATGAATGTTTAAATACAGTTCAAATATATTGTCTGTAGTCTGTACCTGTAATTTGAATTTATTTCCACATAAATAAAATATTTCTAAGGGAATTTTGTATTTTTCTTAAGCGTATCTTATTTTTTCAAAATTGCATTCTTTTAAGAAGATAAAATGGTGACATGACAGAATACATAATTTTTTTTATTTTCAAGATTCATATTATTTCAAAATTATGACTTGAGTTTAGTGCTCAGTGTTCACGCGTATGAAAATAATAGAATTATTAGTTTAATGATCTGAATCTGAAGGATTGGTTGCTCTTATTTCTTGGAAGAAGCTAAAAGGAATGCATTGATGTTGATTTTTAAATAATTATTCACAAACTAATGAATTTGATCTTGTTGGCTCAACTACCCATCGCCGATTCAACTACGTGTTTACAGCTTTTGGACGGACAAATCCTTTATCACCAATTCAATATACGTGGCTGAACAGTATCTGTAGTCAAGACCTAGCTCAACTTCACTTAATCTTGTTTTTGATTGTTTTAAGATTTGAAACTAAATGATCGTCTGCTTTTGTTTCTTGGAGAAAATTAAAAGGAATGCAATGATGTTGAATTCTACAAAATTTTATCCCTGTCTTAAATTTTTCAAGAACAAAAAAAAAATTTTTTTGCTGACAATACAGAGTTAACCATGAAGGAGTAGTTTTAAACGACGAATGAAAACTATTTAAATATTACGACATGAAAATTGAATTTGTTTTTTCTTCTAAATAAGTTAAACAGATGGTTTGGTAGAGAAAGAACGAAGTTTACACTTCCAGTTGCAGGAGACCATTATTGTTAGACTCAATAAATACCGTCGTCTCTGAAGTCTTATTTTTGAGGGTCGTTCAAAGGAGGGGGCTCAGCACCTGCTTGGGGATGGATATTTTATATTTTACTGATCCAGGGGGCTGAGCCCCCACTCCCTTTTTATTGTGTACGTCTATGGCATACTTTGAGGGTAACCCTGTATAGTGTATAATCCCTATTGAGACCAAGCTATCTTTTAGTTTCACCACGTCATTTGTTTAAAGTGCTTACTTAATTATACTATATTGTTGCGCTGCTTTTCAACATTTTATTTCAAATATTTTTTTATAGCTTCATATTAATTCTGATCGATGATTGCATCAGAATAACTTTGTTTTAGTTTGAAACCACAATGCATTAATATTAAAGGAAAGCCTGAGAGAACGCTTCAAAAACCAGATTGGAAAAAAGATGTTGTTTATCTTTTTACTTTTCCTTTGGGTAATTCTTATTAATCTAATAATAATTATTTTTGTATAAACTTGGATCAATTATAAATTAGTTTTAAAAAATTGTGTGAAATTACTTATTATACGAATTTCGAGTAACGAAGACTCGTTTCATTTGTTGGATTGAAAATTATGTTATTGAAAATATACGGAAAATGACGTTTCCTAAGATGGATAGATAAAAACTTCATATGATGTCAATGATTATAGAGGCAAGAGTGGCGTAATATGAAGTTTTTATCTATCTTAGGAGACGACATTTCCGTACATTAGAGCGTATCGAGAGTAACCGACCTTATTATACAACCTTGATTTAGTTCCTTCTGTCAGATCTTTTTCACCCTTCGCCTTGAAACTGGAAACCTGGCTACGTGTCGCAGGTAGTTTAAGTTCTAAATAGGGGCGCGCCTACACTACAAAAATGATGAAAATTTGAGTATGCATTGTGTAAGTTTTTGTTATCATTCTTCAAAAATATTTTTGTTTTTTGTTTTCACATAAAATTCCACACTGTACTGTAATGTACTGTATTGTACCATATTTTACTGTTGTTTGCTTTTGTTTACTGTACTGTACTGTACCGTATTTTACTGTTTTTTGCTTTTGTTTACTGTACTATACTGTACTGTACTGCAGGAATTAAGTACGAGGTTGTGTACACTATGAAGTTCTCTAAGAAGGGTCAAATACCGTACATAGAGTTAAATGGGGAAGAAATTGCTGATTCAAATATTATCATCAAAACTCTTAAATCTTACTTTAACAAGAATCCAGATAGTCAGGTAGATTATTATTTTTATTATTATTATTATTGTTATTGTTATTGTTATTGTTATTGCTATTGCTATTGTTATTGTTATTGTTATTGTTATTGTTATTGTTATTGTTACTGTTATTGTTATTGTTATTGTTATTGTTATTATTGTTATTGTTTTGTTATGGTTATTGTCATCGTCAGCGTTACTGTTATCATTATCTTTAATATTATACAGTACTCTATGACCGACCTATCCCTGGCTCACTCTGTGACCTCTATGGTGGAGAACCATACTGCCCTTACTGGGTTCCATTACAGATATGGTTACAAGATGAAGGTTATTTAATAGGAAAAAGAACATGGTTTAAAGGGACTTTAAGCGGAATTTCAAGTAACTATCCATGCAAAGATGGCAATGCATGGATTTACACAAGTATCCTTCTAAGCTCTGTCTGATCAAGCATTAATTAGATATCAATGTTTTTGTTTCTTTAAACTGTTCTTTTTACAATTGCGGTTTCTCAAGGTTGTATCAGACAATCTTTCGGGTGCTCTGAGAATATAACTGCGCATTTCTTCTTTATAAGATGAGATGTAGAAACTCGCAGAAATAAACACTTATCCGAGTCAGAAAAACGACAGTATCTTCCCCATTTTTGATCGATTAAGGTATTAAGGTTACCGTTGTAAATCTTTGCATGGAGGGTCACTTGAAATTACACTTACAGTACATTTAAACCATGTTCTTTTCTACACTCAAGTAAAATAATAATTAATGTACTTAAAGTGACCCATTCACAATTATCTATAAAAAAAAATACAATATATCCATTTTATTCAAAAAGGATGATGAAGATATATTGTTATTTTTCTAAAAATTTAAAACCACAGTCTAACATTTTTTATTTTCCTTTTACGATAGAAATAAAACTATATGTTAAAGGAAAAGATTGTTAATTATCAAGTTCCTATTTATTTGGTTAAAGGGATTGTAGATGTGATTTCAAATGCGTGAGATATCCA